CGATTTATAGGAATATCTATAGACTCTATAGTCATTGTACAATATACAAATCACGTAGTTTAAAAATTAAAATATGATTAGTTTCATACATAAAACTTAAAATACTAATTGATTTTGAAATGTTCCAAAGAATGATACAAAATTCGTTTCATTAAAAAAACGATTTTAATTCTTTTAAAAACAAATACAACCAATTAGTAGAGTTTCCGGTAAAACGATTTTAATTGAGAAGCTAAAATAATCTTAGTTACAATGCAAAGTAGTGGCCGAGTTTTTATAGGTCATGTTGGCTATTGATTAGTTGACTAATTGTTTTATAGCACATTGGTGAAGTTTTAGACGAGACTTTGACTCTATTAATAAGTTTAATAACCTTAGTTTATAGATAAAATTTGTATTAACTTCCATGGTCCATATAAAATTACTCATTAAGATATTTCTCAATAAATGTAACGATTTTTTTTTTCTTGTATGATTATTAAAAAAAAAAATGAATATAAAAGTCATTTTTACAAAAACTAAATCGCATTAATTCACTTTTAAGAGGACGCCACACTGGCCATTTCTAAGCAGTAAAGTATTTACAATTTTTCGAAAAATCTTAATTTAGAGTTTGAACTTTAATGCATCCTTATTAATACAGTAATGAGGATACTTTGTTAATTACCATTTTTTTTGTCAGACTATCACAGTCATTTCTATAGAATAAATTACAATTTTTTCCCTTCAAAACTGCTTTGCGCGAAATAATTGCGCCTAATACAACCAACGCTATATCATTCTTAAAAAAAGTTAAAAAAGTCCTTTCTTAATTAATTATTCATTAACTGGTTGAAATATTTAAAAAAAGGGCAATGTTAGAACACAGACAATGTTGTTGTCTATATTATGTACAAATTTGGTTTCTTAGTTTTGATTATAGCTTTTGTAAAATTAATCCACGCAAGGCGGGTTTTTTGAAAAAAATAACGGGTGTGTGACGTCTTCTTAATTTTTTTAACTTCAATACGTTTAAATCCTCATTTCTCAAATACAGAAACAACTTTTAGGAGAGGTCTATGTTAGAGCATAGTAATTTACAGCTATTTTTCACACAACTGGATTATTATGTACAAAAATTCTATGTTTTAAAAGTAGTTGGATACATTAAACTAATAATTAAATTTAAATAGTTTTAAAAAAAATAATGCACTCATCCAATTTACAAAAAATGTATGTATATATAAACGTTAATGAGAGGTTTAAATGTCAAATCTTAGACAATCAGTCTTTTATGTAGTCAGTGAGAAACTATTAAACGATCACGCACCACTGAGTTAATATTATAGAAACTATTTTCAATACGATTACTAAATCGACTATAGTTCATTATCTAACTACAGCTGCGCTACTCTCAAACACTCTAGACTACGTTTAATTACACATAAACGTAATATATTGTAAATATACTACAAGTAAATATATTAATAAACAGTTAAATTACTTGCGGGGATTTCTTATTTAAATACAAATTTATAATAAATCTACTACAATGTTATCCAGCGAAGCGGTAGTAGTGTGGAGCTAAGTAAAAAAATTAGAGTTTGTTTTCGTGCTATAGTTTTCCTACTATATTCCTATTATAACAAAAGCTATATTTACTAGGTCGCAAGTAGAAAAACAAATTTCGACTACCGGCCAAGTAATCTAAATTAACATTTTTTCATGACTGGTTTTTATGACAGATTTTTATTTGTTGGTAACAATGTATAATACATATTAAATTACATTATGGTATTTAATTAGTTCCTATATTATATATCACGTATTTTAAGGCGCTTATGTTGAAACACTTGTTTTTTTTTTACTTAGCGACCATTTACATTGAGTTAACAAAGAGTTTATGTTGGGATTTAAAATACACTAATCATGTATATTGCATACAATATGTCGATTTAGTTTGGGCATGCTAACAGCTAATGTAATTGTTTAATGTACCTACATAAGTATTATAGGTTTGAGTAATACGCAAAACTATATATATTTCGTCTAAACGACATACAGCACATTTTTTATACACATTATAGAATCTTAGTTTTATCAAATATTTAATATCTGTAAATAAACTAGAAATGTCATATACTTAAATAAGTGTAAAATAGTAGGTCTTCACTTATTTATCAGATATATATTTTACGACAGTTTCAAGAAGAAAAATAAATGACTTGATAAGGACACAATCTAGTTGTGACGATCAATGATTAGAAAATAATGCTGTACAAAAATGGGTACGCGAATGATCTTGTTAAAAGTGTTAGAAAAATGGCTTAATGCATTTGATTTTTGTATTATTATCTCTGGTTCTTCCAACAATTTATCGAGAGGTGGATAAAAAGAAAGAGAGGAGCACGCGAAAAAAGTTTCTCCTCGACCGTTGGACCACACACAACGGAATACGCATAAATCGTCGGTGAAAACTTTATTGCTTCATAATATCAGTCCTGTCTACCCTCATACTTAAACGCATAGTCTCGTTGCCAGGGTTATAAATCGCAAACACTAAAACTCGGGTCATTATTATCTGTTTAATTTCAGGCCATCATCTATATACCACTCGTTTTAGACATGCCTAAACACTAATCAAGTGTATTAAAAAATGTCATGAATAAAAATAAATTATAAATTTTCGTTTTAATTTATAATCACTATAACGTCAAGCGTCTTGGGACAACAACTCGAGTACATTGTATGCATAACACAACTGCCGCGATCTCGTTATTGATATTTTAGAGTTTTAGTGATCTATAAAAAAAAAAAAAACATAAAAGGCGAAGACAATATTCTTTATGTACACATCTTATTGGCAACGCCGTGTAGATTTTATTCTTTACTATACAGTAATAAAATAGTATATGACCGTTACTTTGTACTATATAACATATATAACTATCTGGACTGAGCGTGAGAATATTATATAGTTATCATTAAAAAATACATCATAATAATATATCAACACTCTCAAAAGATTTTCCAAGCGAACGACATGACGTTATAAAATGAACCTTTAACGTATACCTATGTTTTTATTTCCTGCCCTCGAATTACATTTCACATGCACAAACGTTTGTTTCGTATTGTAATCGACGGAGACCCAAAGTCACCGAATTTAAATTCTACATTGAAGTTTATATCTTTTAAGCCATCTATGCTAATGCGAATTGGAAAGTTTTGAAATCTAGTCGTTGACCATAAACTTGGGAACACTCTGACTTACCTTATATCCATAAAGGAAATGTCGCCCGAGTTATGCACCACTTGCGGGAAAACGGCATGATGGATATACGCAGTACATCATAGTTTCGGTATAATATATTATTATTATTCAAATGTAAATAAATCACATTGTTTTAAACGACTTATTTTATATTTCTTGTGGTGACTCCGGTTTGAAAATCAAATGTCTAACGTTTAAAAAAAACTGTTAAATATATGAGCAATGTAATATACATTGCAGTGGTTGACTTATTGTTGCGACGCCCAGTAAGAATGTTGTACAAACTATGAACGATAAAAAGTTATAAAGTCAATAACGTCCAAAATGTTCTTGTTAAGTTAGTATTCTGCACTGTGTTAGGTTTTAAAATATCTATACTTTTACGGCTTTGAAGAATATAAACCTTTTGATCCGATTTTCAGAATCATTTTGATACGATGTATTAATATTAAGCGGAAATAATGTAGCATTTTAGTAAAAAAAAACAGCAACGTTAAATTGTATAAATAATATTATTTTCACTGTACAAATGTTATAACTCATATGGCAACGCATAAAACATAATTTTAACAACAAAAGTGGCTCATTATAATTAACGTTTGTATAAAATGTAAGGCGACAAAGCGCAATGAGTTATAGTTTAGTTTATTGTGATTCTGGTAAAAACTGGGTATGATATGGTTATATAATGATATATATATATTATTTTTCAGAAGAAACGCTAATAACACGAATATACCGTTAGGTAGTGAAAAATATTTTATTAAAAACTAAGAGCTATATTTTCGAGGTAATATATTATTGAAGTAAATAATATAGGTTGTAGGTGAGTTGTGGCCTGAGGTGTTGTTTACGATGTCGGAGACCGGTGAATTGCGGCCCGTCAGTTTTCGATGGACGCATGATTTGCGGTCCGTATCTTAAGTTAAATTTTTGAAAATATCGAAACTTATATACAGGATGATTTTTTTAAAGAGATCCACTCAAAATGTTATAGGATTTTATTTTTATTTTTCGCATTGTTTTTATATTATGTGATCTCGTTACTTTTAAAGTTATTAGAGTGTAAAAGTTTGGACGGGACGAGAAGTGCGGTTGTATAATGCGCACAGATTAAAATAATACTACATCTCAGTCTTCCCGTCCTTGGCTTTAGTCTTGAATAACAATCGAAATAATTATCCAAGACCGGGTTATCGACCAGTCAACATTTTAGGTAAGTTTTAAATTTTTGCCAAACCAGTAATTTGAAAAAAACTAAAAAAAATGATAACGATATAACCGCTCATCAGCCAATAGCATCATTTTAAAAACTTGACCAAAAAACATATTTTTGGGCGACAATTCAGCCAACCTACCCGTCGTGTCTCCTGGGTAACGCTAATAGGCTGATGTGAAGTGGTAATTATTATGTGACCGCAATTCGTACTTGATTTAGGGATTGGGCCGCAACTCACCAACACCGATGGTATAGCTGGACCATTGTGAGTGGAACCTAGCGTAAAAATAGTTTCTCAGTGATAATAAAATAATCAATTAAAAAACCTGGTTATAAATAATAATTAAGATGGGCAGTTTTATAATTTATAGTTACCACCAAAGAAAGCCGAGCAACGCATTTATAGTTATGTACATAAAACATCTTATAATATTATTGGTATCGCATCTTTACGATAGACGTGTTAATTGTTTAGTTGTTGGGGTTGTGCTTATAATAATTACTGTGTGTATCTCTGAGAACACTTACCTTTCTAAACGTTTCTTGCGGCCACGTCTCTTCGCAAAAGTCTGTGCCGGATATTTCTTTGTTGGCCATGTAAATGCCGTACGGTAAGGTGGCCACCAACGATATTATCCATATGGCGGCTATTATCTGCGCCGTCGTCCAAACGGTCATCCTGGGCTGAAACGGATAGATGATGACGAAAAACCGGTCGATAGCGATGGACGTCAACGTCAGAGTAGACGTGTACACGCTAGTGCCTTGAGCGTACGGGACGATGTGACAGAATATTTCGCCAAACATCCAGTGTCCTGTCAAAAAAAGAAACAAACGGGTAAAAAAACGTTAACCGTGATTGATATATTATATATACACTATACAGGTCGATCGCGTGCTGCTGGGTGTGTGTGATTTTTTGTCTCGAACGTCGCAACACGACCGTACATGCGCGCACAAAAAGACGTCACATAATACATTAATGTCGGTCATATCGCATAGAAGACGGCTTGTAACAGACGGCCCGGTTGTAGTAACGGGTTGCGGGTGTACTCAACAACAGCTGTAACGGCTTATAGGGACCGTCACCGCAACAGACATCGTGTTCGATTACGGTTTACTCGGGACGTCCACGAGTAATCCAGAAGGATAAGTCCCACTGGACAGGGTTCGCCGTAAAAGGGTTGGTCCTGTCTCCGATCCGCGAACGCTGAACGGGCGCGGGCGACTTACGGTCGACTGGCGGTCCCTGTGAAACCATTCAACTCAATTTTCTATTCGACAAATGCAACCTCCGAGGTGAACGCGAAACAATGGCCCGGCACACACAACGGGGCGAAACACAAAAAGGGTCTCCCGCAATAAATATCCTCAACGCGTCAAAAGTATAGGCGCCCGCCGCCGCTCTTGTCCTTTTAATCGCCTTCTGACAGCTACGAAAAATATGATTCGCGCTGTATAATATAATAAATTTATCCGTCCGGCCGTATTATTGATGTATATTGGGTTTGGAAACAACAAAACGATATCGGAGGGGCAAGAGAAAAATAAAAATAAAAATTATACATTATAGACTATCGTCCGCTACACGTTATTGAAAAACTAATGGACGGCCCGACGACGGGTCGGATTCCATATCTGTGTACGTAATACATATTATTTTACTAGCTATTTTCTCGCATAAATTACCAAAAAAAAAAAAAACATATACATATAATATATACATTATACATGTATCAAAAGCATCACCCCGGGGCTTTGGTGGCTGAATTTTATAATACAGAACCGTCAACCTCTCCGAGTGTTCGGCAAGTTTACCGTACAAAACACACACCAAACGTGCACGGCGGGCTTATTTGTTTTCAAAACTCACTTGCCGATGGTACCAACATGTATTCCCTACATTACAAGAGCGTTAACTCGATTTTTGTAGACGCGTATCTCCTGTAATTGATTTTCAATAAAAACACTGACAAAAACAAATACGGCTTAAATTTAATTACGGTGCTGTATAATCCTTAAACCGTTGAATTTTGTTTTTCTCTAGTGAAAGTAATTTTTCCCTTTACCAGAAAACATTATTTTTGAAAAATAATGGCAGCGTATCCGTTGTTCCCAAGCAAATTCATCATGTTCACCGGCTACCCGAACTCGGAATGGAATTGTTTTCATTATACTACACACATGCTGCTATTGTTTTTCATTATTTACCAATCAATCTTTCCAACGCCTAGGGTCAAAAATATTTTATTTTCGGACGGCAAGAATAAAGAAACGAGTTTACCAAAACAAGAGCATACTACACGAATTTTCCATTGATCGATATAAACTGTATTGACTATTGAACTTTCAATTATAACTAACATTAATGGTGTCATTTTAAAACGAAAAGTAGAGGCCATAGAAAATATACATAATGTATTTTTTTATTGGTTGACGTAAGAATTACAAATAGTTACATGATTTTTTAGACACAGCATTTTATGCTATTTTATGTCAACAATTATGTATAGTGGCTTAATTATGCGTAAACAAGAGTGTAAAGTGTACACAGGGTGGTCAGCACTGCTTAACATTTTAGTCCATGTTTTTATGTTATTTTAACTATTAAGATAATGGTAATTATACAACTTTTCAATTTTTATACTAATGACATTGTCATTCATAACGGTTTTATAGACTTTTCCGTAGTTTTATAGTTAAATAATTTATTATAATACCTGAAGAATATATAGTTTAACTGGTGGCTACGGTGGAGTTAATCACTCTAGGTTACTTAATATATTATATAATTTGTTCCTTTTATTGAACTTTATCTTCAATTAATTTAGATTTTGGGGTCAGGTTGATAATTATAAGCCAACGATATAAAAACAAATTTAAATGCTTTAGTTATAGTAATATATACTATAAATGATCAACAATTTTTTAAATTTTAATTGAAAGCAAAGTCTAGCTATACAAATATTTAAACGTATTTTTTGTTAAAATACAGTATGTTTTTCGTTAGGTCGTACAATGTACACGGATGACGGAGGTATGAAAAAAGCAATAAAAAGTGTCGTCATTGTCATATAAATTATGTTTTTCGAAATTTATCGCCGCTTACGATAATCGCGTTTATGACCTACAAAAGCCTAAAATATTGTTTTTGGTAAGAGTGGAATGCGCTGTTTTTTCTACTAGGAATTTGTCGGGATGATGCCGAGACGACACGGATCACCTGTGGTGACAGGATGCGAAGTTGGGCTGTACATCACAGTAAATAAGTTGACCGAAGCTTTTCCCACCTAACTACATAAAAGCGGACAATGGAGGGAAAAATATAGTACATACTTACCATTTTTTATACGTAATAGCGGCGTCACCATGACGAGACGTTCGGGCGTTTACACTGTGTTGTATTTGACTCTTTTTTTTTTTCTTTTACATTTATTTATTAGAAAGTAAAAGTTGCCTTTATACGTTAAACCCGGATATTAATCAACCGCCTTATTCACGCAAATACTATTAACATCATATTGTTTGCACAATTGTTATGTGAATGCATTAATACAATTTCATTACCAATTGCCCAAAACGGAAAATGCTAGCTCCTATACAAACTAATTTAAACGTATACCTCACATTACTCTTATTTGCATTACTTAACGTAATATAATAAAATTGTTACAAAGCATATTATTGGCATACTCTGAGAGAAATACGGGTCTAATGTATTACATTTTCCTATTAGACGTTCGATAAAATTAAAATTAGAGCAGTCAGACAAACAATTATATTTTTTTTGTTACTAAACAAACAAAACCTTCAAATGGAATTTTTCAAAGTTTGGATATTATACGTGTGCACTATACTATGTCATAGGCCTTGGCTATGTTAAGACACGCCATACCTATTATTTGTGTTTCGGTTAAAGTTTTTTCTATTTACGCTTGTATTTTAATTTTTAAATAATTTATCCATACCTCTTTTACATTTATTTTTATTTGAATTTCATTATTATTCAGCACAATTAATATAGATATTTCTGAAAGATTTTCATCTGAGGGATGTTCACCAATAATATTATTGGTTTGTGTTCTTATTTCTAAGGTTTGGTTTAAATTTCCAAGTGAGTTTTTAAGAGGACATCTGAGGTGTTATTTTTGACAAAAAACAGGTGACTAGTTCATCAGTACTAAAGACACGGTATTTGTAACATCATAGGCTATTAATAAAAATCATTTTTTTTGTAGATCATTGTTTTTATAGAGTCTTAGTCTTTAACTATGTTCACAATACACATTATGCGCTAAAAGCGTTCAATTGCACTAAAACTTTTGAATCTCCCAAAAAAAAAAACTAGCAGTAGACGCGCACTTAAAATATATAGTATTATAAAGCTGTTTATTAATTACGGCCTTATGTTTAAAATTATTTTTAAGCAGTGATTGTAACCCTATAAAGACAATAATTCAGATTACGTGTTTGGCAAATATGTTCACTGTGCTCCTAGATAGGTAAGTAAGACATTACTTCTTATCATTGTTTACTCGTTAAGTGTGTTTACAGAATATAGATAGGAACGTTAAAGAAATAATTATTATGTCACACGTAAATGAGTACGAGCCGGTACGTCTGTGTATTATGGTAAAAATGTGTAATACAATAATTAATATAATAATTATTATTCAGTTTTCATTAATATATATATATATATATTTAATACTGAAAAATACCATATGATTAATAATAGTATACATTAAAATTTGCAGTGTATACGTCTATATATAAATCAAATATTAATAAAATGTGTTATACGAAGTGTTTTAGTTTTAAAGGCACATAACGTCCCACGAACGGTTTCTATTACAATTATGTTTTCATAAATTAATCTAGAACTTTCAAAAAAAAATCTGAAATACGAATTTTAGAATTTTTAAATAATTATTAAAGAAATAAACAGTACGTTCGAAAATCGCATTGTGCAAAAATTAGTTTTTTTGTAAATAAATAACAATCAACGTTTGTGTAAAACAATTTTTTTGTTTAGTTTAAGTATTGGAATAATTGTAACAAATATATGTAGACAACTTTTATGGTGGCCATTATATGGAATGTTTAATACTTTAATTATTTAATTATTTTAAATAAGTAACACCCTCTAGGGGTACATAGTATTTTTAACATGAATAAAATATGCTGAATCTTATATAGGTGTTTTGTCATAGTGTCATAAATAAGGATTTTTATTTTTACTTGGATACAAATTATTGTGGATTGTAAATTTTTTAATTTTAATAATTACAGAGTAACTGGAACCATGTGTATCGTTGGTAATTTAATTTGAGTTGTATAATAGAAAGGATAACTTAACTAATAAGAGACTATCGCTGGGTAGTTAACCTTTTACCCAAAGGTTTTTGACAAAGGATTTAGATAGTTTGACGTTTATGGGGATATTTTGAGTACAAAGTAATGCGGTGTTAATTATATTAACATGCTTAACCACAATACAATTAACTAATATGAATTAGATAGAACACATCCTAATTTCAGCCTTTCCGTTTTAAAGTTATAAACTACAAGTACCTTGCAAGTTGCAACTGTACCACAATGATACAATTAGCTTAGTTACAAGATAAAAGCATAATATCCGTTTAAAGAGTATAAATAGCGAAGTGAGCAGCATATAAAGTGGATTTTTACAGCTTAATATCGTCATTTTGTTCAATAATAACCTACTTAATAATAAAAATACAGATTAATTCATGTTTTGTCTTTAAAGTTTCATGTAATTGTATTTCATCGTTTATTTATAAGAAATATATAG